CCGACCCCAGCGCCACCTAGCGATACAATTTTTAGTCGGAATATTCCCCTTCAAGGTGCTGACATACATACATATGTTCCCAATATGAACATTTCATTTCTATATACATATATAGATGTAAAAGCTTTATGAGAAGTTATTTACAGTTGGTATGTATATGTATAAATAGAAGGATAATAAATAATAAATTTCAATTTACATCGCGATAAAAATTCACGCTTTTTAACTGCCCTAAAACGCCTTCCCAGTAGCCTCGTTTGTTTTGTTTGTATCACTAATTCGGCTATCTATTGCCAAATCTTAAAAATACATAAAAACATTCTTATATTTTTGTATTCATTAATATTGTTTATGTATGTGCGCGTGTACTACTCACGTTTTAGCGTTTTAGTCGAATGCTTTTCACCCATGTACCGTAAAAGTGCTAATCACCGCAGGCGAAAATACGTCAGCGCAAGAAACCAAATGCTTTTTTGGCCACATTCAGTAGCTGCGAGTAGTTGCAGTTCTTGTCCGTCCGTCAACAGGATGCACCTTGTTCAAGCACATTTTCTATATACATACATATTTATGTACCTTTTATGGAAACCGGGAAAAATTTTGGAGAACCAGACACTTTTGAATATTTATGAAATATGTGTGTACAAATACATAAATTAATGTACATATGCAAAACAAATATTTAAAATGGAAACGAAACAACCCTTTTAGAAACTTTGCGACTAAAAAAACTACAACAACCGGACCGTTATGAAATATGTAGAGCCACTCATGATGTTAATTCATTTTTGCCAAAGTTATAAAAAAAAAAAAAAAAATTAACTTTATTTTATACACATACATATGTAGCACATATTATGTGCATAAATATGTGCAAAGAGGGAAGAAATAAAATAAAACTAAAGAAAATAATAATAATTTAAAAAAAAAATGTAAAATAAATTTTTGCCGAAACCCGGGATTGAACCGGGGACCTTTAGATCTTCAGTCTAACGCTCTCCCAACTGAGCTATTTCGGCGGATGTTATCACCACCGCCAGTCGCACAGCGGATAACACGTACAGTAGGTATTCGCTACACCAACACTCACTACAAGTTTAGGTATGCATGCAGCAGCTTAAATACATACTAGCGAGTATCTAACATCGTCGAACATATAAAATATATATTTTCAATATGTACATATGCAAACAGAATTCCTATTTACATATGTATATATATATATATATATATATCTATGTTTACTTATAAGTTCATACATATACAGTTATGGTCAGGTGAATACTAAATAGATTCTCCTTATCATTTCTAAATATAGAACAAACAAAGTATGTATATGGCTTCTATGTATGTATGTTTGTACACATGTATGTCCATTTACATTTGTACATATCTATGTATATATTAATACGCTAACATAAATTTTGTCTCCGTTTTTTTTTTGGCGATTCTACCGAACCGATTTAAAAACCAAGAACACCATTTTAAAGGTATTTTTCTGTAGATGGGGAGAGTTTTTATGGCTGCAACATTGGTTGAAAATTACGGCCAAAATCGTCGTTTATAGATTTCCCTATTTGTGTATACCCTGCGGAAAAAAAATTATCAATTGATTAGAATAACCAACTTCTAGTTAGCTTTTTTGCGGGAGTTCGATAAATAACTAACTTTTACTTAGCTATGACAAAAATACCTTTAAGTTAGTTGTGAAATCGTGCAGGAGTCATGCAAACGTTATCGGTAGTTTGTTTTCTTTACAAGTTTCTATTAAATATCCTCATACGAAAATTATTTTTAATACACTTTTTTTCTGAAATTCGCAGATTCTTTTTCGTATTCAGATAGAGTGAATTCAGAAACAGTGAAGGCAAAATTAAAGCTAAAGACGAAAATGAAAACAATGAGAAATACATAAGATTTTGAGTTACTTTATAGACAC